ATTTTTTCTTCATAATCTGCTGGAATTTTCTGTGCAGTAGTTGTTTTTGTGCGCATTGATAAGCCTTGCCTTTTCATGGACCTGTAGCACCAGCCATCAGACCCTGAAAAGTTCTGATTGCCATGTTTTCCTGCAAATCCTTTGCCCCTCATTGATTATCATTTTGGTTGAAACACTTATCCCAGATTTCTTCTTACCTATCACCCATATTTTTACGGCATTTTCAATTTCAGGCCAAGATGGAGCTGGGCATCGAAGGTTATGATTTTGTTTTTTAGCAGTCTTCAGTTGATCTTCCTGCAGTCGCCAAGTACGTATCATTGTTTTGCTAGGTGGTGGACCAAAATGCCTTGCTGCTGCTCTGTTTTTATGCACTTTGGCATAGTTTAACACTCCTAGTTTATACTGAATTGTATAGCTTAATCTCTTGTTCTCTGTAGTCATATTTTCTGGGGTATTTTTTTTAAACAAATAATTTTAAGCACCAATACCGACACGTTTATACAGAGTAGCACCGATACCGACGCGTGTGTCGGCTAAGTCAAAGAAAGTCTATGTAAAGAAGAAAAGGCTCCATAGACGTAATGTGATCGTCGAACCTGTTTGTTAAATAGCTACTACATGTTCTGTTTCTATACTTTGCCGTAAAAATCATGGGTACCAATGCAGTGTTACTACTTCCTCTTAGAGAGGAAACTAATGCAGAAACAGACAGGTGAAACCGCAACTAACTATATATCAACTGAGAAACTAAACTCTTAAGAGTTTGCTAATTACCAAACTTTTAGTGATCGTATAAGTGAATTTTTAATGCATTGCGTTGTGAAAATGCATCCGGGACCGCGCCGTGAGAGGATCGAATAAATAACATGTAAAATCAATATATATATATATAAGAAAAACACATAGAGGATATAAAGAAAACATAAGTAATAGGTTTCCAGATTAAATACCAGTTTATTCAAATTCCTCACAATTAAAAATTAATCTTATCCTAATCAGGGAGTCAAACTTCTTATTTTTGTTAGTTTCAATTTACTTATTTTAGACACAGGTGAATTCTTCAATTGTCATTTTTTTTGTTACTTTTAAATTCATGATTTGCAAATCTATTACATGACTCTTTAATTTAACGGGTACCCGTTCTATGATTTCTAAGAGGTTAAGGAAAACATATTATTTGCAATTCACATCTGTTCTAAGGAAGATTACACAAACAACTTAAATTATTACATCCTAATTCATATAAAAACCTTAAGGTTTGTCTCGGTAATTTAGAAGGGGAAAGGGAAATAATTGAAAGCCTGAGAATTAATTTAAGATTCGACGTTGTTATTTTACATTCCAAGGAAGTCGTTGAAACCTTACTTAAAGTTCAAACACAAAAAATAGAACTTATCTTGTAAGGACATCTTGAAGTGGAGGACTCATATCCTAATAAGCGTTGACGTCGGCGGGGCTGATTTTTACGGTCACAAATGGAAGTTTCAGAAGACATCGTCCTGTCCTGGCACTATTGGCGAAACACACACGCAGGTAACTGGTTTCATAACGACGAAGCTATTTTTACCCTGGAAAACAGAAACAGGAGCACTGCTACCCAGCACGGCTGTCCGCCTGGTCTTAAGTCACTCGCCCGGTTCAATTTCGCCTTTTAACCAGAACGCGGCAGGCGAGCATGTTTGCAGCTCCCGGCCTGAAACGTCTCTCTAGGCAATTACAGCTCGCCTTTTCTCTCTCATCCCAAGAGCAAGCTCGAAGTTACACTCTTAGCCCAAAAGTAAGTAAGTCCACCCAGTAAGTGATTCCAAGAGTAAGAAGAGTAAGTGAGTAAAGTCTCTCGCCTCTTAGTCAAAACGTGGGGAGGCCGGGGAATGGTTGCCGCTCCTCGCAGAAAAACGTCTCTCTTCGTAAATTACATTCGTTTCTATTCGCTCAACCCCAAGAGCAAGTTTCAAGAGTAACGTCCAAATTAAGTTCCGCAAGCAAGTCTCGCACGAAAAAGTGATTCAAACTCGAATTTTCTTCCTCTCCTTCACAAACGCGGGCTCCCACTATGGCTTCAATTATCGCCCCCTTAATTTGGGCAAAATTTGCGTTTTCAACCCCTAAATGCGGAAATAAGGGTGATCGCGCATGCGCGCCCTTCTTCACTTAGCCAACAACCGGACCCTCAATCGGCAAAACCTGAATGACTTACATCGAAAGTCAAGTGGCAACCTCTGACCCTTCTGTCACGTATTTCCTGTCCTAAGGTCAACTGCACAATGAAATTTCTTCTAGAACATTCTAAAGGACAAAGTGCGCGAAATCATGACTTGGCAAAATTGCCTCCCTTTCCCTGCTTCTTTTCACAATGAATCAAAGCTTGTACAAAAATTGCAAATAAAAGAAAAATAAATAATATTCTTTTAAATTAAATAATATTCCCAGAAGCATCTGTTTTTCCCCAAAATTAAAGCATTAAAATAAATAATTCAGAATCAAATAAAATTAAGATTTCCATAAATCAGAAAATCATTCACCTAGTTTTTATAACGCTATCAGACAAATTCTCTACACAACATGTTCGAACTTTGACGTCTGCTTCGAGCTTTGGCGCTTTTTGGCGACAGACATTTCACGCATGCGCAAAATAATTATGGCAGATGTAGAAAAAGTTATGTGTGTCTAGATCTTTATCTGGGCTAAAAATAGCATTCAGTATTGAAAGTTAACCTGTGTCCTTCACGTATGAGGCGCAGTTAACTTTTTCGAGACTAAATTTAGGAAAAAAAAGTGCGTCTTATATGCCCTCAAATATGGTATATATTTTTATGGCTGCTAGAGTTTCCACTTGTTGTTTGATATTAGGCAAGGGGAAGAATTGTGTTTTAGTCAACTTATTCGGTTTTCTATAATCGATGCAAGGTCTGGGATCTCTTCTTGCTACTTCCACTAAAATCATGGGAGAAGTGTAATCTAAATCTCCTATTTCAATTATTTTATATTGAATCATTTTAACAACTTCTGTTTTAAATATATTTGTATGTGTAGAAACAATTCTGTATGGTTTACAGTGGATCAATGTGTTTTCTGCCAATTGAATATCATGCATTATTAAATGTGTTTTTTTGGTGTATTAGAGAAAATCTTTGAAAATTTCAATAGTAGGTCATGAGGTCATGCTATTCTTGAATTTGTTGTTCATTTAGCTTATCATTCAAGGAGCTGTTTTCTTTAATTTACTCAAAATCGAACAATGTCGGTTCAGAGTCAGTTGTTGGGAAATTTTCCTCCATATCACCAGTTTTAGTATCCTCCATTCATAAGGTTAATCGATTCTGCTTACTTATGGTAAGGTTTTAACATGTTAACATGGTAAACTTGATTATGATCTTTTTTTCCCTCGAAACTCCAACATAATTGGTTTTGATAATTTCTTTTCAACCTGCCCAGGACCTTTCCATTCAACTGCTAATATATTTATTTTACTGTTTGATAAAACTTCAGAGAATTCTCGTTTAATAGCTTTACATTCGTATCACACTTTTCTTATTGTTTGCATTTCCAGCATATTATCTTTGCATCTTTTTAACCAATTTATCAGTTGGAAAACTTATTCAATAACATTATTCCCTTCATCTTCAGGATTTGTCCATTGTTCATGTAATAATGTTAAAGATGTTCTAAGCTTTCGACCATATACTAATTCTGAAGGAACTACCATATATTAAACCCGCACTCTCGCACATTATTGTTCTTAAAGCAAGTAGAGCTGTGGGAACTTGCTTCTCCTACTCAGTGGCTGCTTCAAGACTTGTAAAATTCGTTTGACTGTTCAGTGAAATCTTTCAACAGAGTTGCTTTTTTGGATGGTGTATTGAACTTCTAGTTACTTTTATCCCAAATTTTTCTACAAATTCAATGGCTAGATTGCTTATGAAGGAAGTACCTTGATCAGTTAGTATTTCCTTCGGGAAACCCATTATACTAAATATTTGTAATATGGATTTAATTATTGATGTTGTTCCAATGTTAGGAACAGGTGCAGCATCTAGATATTTTGAAGCTAAACAAATACCTTTAATTAAATATCTATTTCCATTTCATGATATCAGTAAAGGACCGCATGTGCGAAACTTAATTTTTGAAAATACTTTTGCAGTTAATTGGATGGAGGAGATTTAGATTAAATTTGGGTTCTAGATACCAGCAGTTTTTAGAATAGCAAAACCTTTTAATTAAATCTAAAAATTAAAGAAAAAGTATATAGTGGAAATATTGATTACGTAAACAAAAACAGCTCAACTGTGTATTTATGAATATATTAACAAATTAGCAGACATTTTAGGGGATGGTTCAGAAATTAGTAAAAATATTGATTTGTTTATTGGAGTAAATAAGCTTTAAAAAGGAAATAAAGGCAATTAAATAAATGAGCAAAAATATCCAGAAGAATTTTAGGTTAAAATAATGAAATTATTTGTAGTGTTATAGATGTTTTGCATCTTTTAATGTATAGTTGTTATATGTAATTGATTCTTATTCTTCTTAGTAATTGTTCAGTGAAAGATTTCACTGAACAGTAGTAAACGAAGTATAAACGTTGATTTAATTGAGATTTCTGTAGTGATGTTTTTAATGAGCATTATTTTTAAATAATTTCTTTAATAGTGATTATATAAATATTTTTTAAAATATGTGGGACTAATCTGCAGAAAAATTTAAAGGAACAATTATAAAAAATGTAGAGTATCTTAAATTAATTAAGAGTTATTATGATTTTGATCTTTATGGTAACTTCTCCTTTCTCTATTGCTCACATGAATGTAAATTAGCTTTGTGTGTATTTAAGCTGATTAAAAAAAAAATGAGAGAGGTGCTGGCAATCGCAACTCACTGTTTCTTCGCCAGCTTGGCTTAACATTAATATTCCGACGTTAGCATTCTGATTTTTCTTGTTTTTATTTAATCTGTATTGGAATATTTCCAGATTATTTTTCATATTTTCTGTTTAGAATTTTTACTGACAATGATAGTAACAAGCCAAAAGTGTATGGATTTTGTGAATATAAAGACAAAGAAATGGCTCAAAGTGCTGTACGTAACCTTGATGGGTATCTTTTGCGAAACAGTCCTTTGCGAGTCCATATTGCTTCTAGTGAGAAGAGTAAAGAAGAAATGGAAAGTAAGTTTACTAGATGGTTTCATTTTTAGAAAGAGTTTCATTATTAAATCATGTGAGTGTAAATATTTCTAAATTGTCTAAATTTAAAGTACATCCAATTCTGATTTTGTATAATAGGTATTTTTCAGAGGACTTAAAAGAAAGTGCAGTTCATGTAAATTTGAGATTGGTGGTTTTAAATTTTGAAAGTTCAGGATAAAAAAATGAATTTGCTTTCAAATAAATCTTTCATTAAATTTTAATGTTTTGTTAAATACAGTACAAAGTCCAATATCTGGAACAATCTAAAATCCGGACCTCAAAACCACCAACGTTTTTCTCCTAGGCTTTACGCATGCACATTTGATTACCCCCTCCGCGCATAATAAAACATCTGAAGAGTCCTGATCCTTAATTTCACTTCGACACTAAATAAAATACCTTGTTATTGAAGAAACAATCATTTTAGCATAAATTTCTATGATCAGTAATTTATCTGCGTATCTGCTTGGCAACCGAAACATTCCACATAGATACATCGTTGATCTGATGCCAACCTGGCGAATCATTATTTATTATACTTTCCTGTCATCACCACATGTTTATCAAAACATGACAACTTGAGTAATGACTCATGTTGTGATACCTAAAAAATTTTTTTATGCTAGTAATTGAATAATAAAGGAGTATGGTAACCTTTTATATTGACATTAATTACACTTGCCGATGATTACAGATTTAAGTTAAATGCGCTAAAAAATGTTGACAAGGAAAAATTTACAAAAAATTTCTTTCCATATGCTAAAAATAGATTTTGTTGATGATACTCATAGACACAAAGAATGCATTTAGGGCTACTTGAATTAAGAATAGCTGATTTGGTATTCACATAAACCCAGAACCAGCACCAGGGCTCGTATGGCCGCACCGAATCGCAGAATTTAGGACCCACCCCACAGAGACTGCATCAGGCAATAAGATATCTAGCGCTGGCCCTCAATAAGGATTAAGTATATGTGAGAATTTATTTATTCAGAAATAAGTCTCAAGCATGTGCAAGAAATAGACATAAGTATAATATATAACTGAACGAATACAATTCAGGCTTAATTTTCTCAGTGCGCGATAGAAGCAAGATAAAGTTTAACAGAACAACTTGTTGTTAGTCGCCAAGCTCATGATGCATAGCCAAATATGTATAGTGAAGGATAGCTAAATTTGGTGATATAGCCACTAATTTTAAAGGTTTTTGGATGTCGCAAAACAAAGGTGAAATTTTCCAATTAACAGATTTTGTAAAGAAATGTGGAGATAAATGAAGATGATATAAAAGAAGTTTTTCATTGTGATGACAATGCTTCTCAATCTTTAATCAATTAATGAATGGAAAAATCTGTAGTATGGTTCTAGATCCAAAAAATACTGCTATCGATAGTGAAGAAAGTGACAAAGAAGTTACTGAAAATGAGAAAATTTCAATTGACAAGTTAGTTGGAATTCTCGAAACAGCAGTTACAGGACTTGAACAATGTAACTAAAGAAGAGATTATGTCTGTTCTACAGAATTAAAGAGAAAGTATTAGCACAATTATGAACCATCTTACAATGCAAGAAATGTTTGATAAGGTAAACAAATAAATATCAAGCTTTTTTTTTTTTTTTTTTTTTTTTTTGTAAATTTTGGTACCCTTTAGATCATAAATATTTCATTATTTCATAAATCACGATTGCATATTCTTAATTTTATAATTTCTACATGCCATCTTACTAGATTTAAACTGACGATCAAATATCAAGAAAATCCCAAATTCAGGATCTCAAAGTCCCAACTAGTCCAGATTTCGGACTTTGTACTGTATTTGAATTTTTATTTTATTAATTTAAGTGCATATAATTGAAGAAAATACTGGAATTCTGTTATTCTAAGAGACTTTCAAATTAAGGTCTTTCTTCTTGCTATACCACAAAAAAGGGGGGGGGGAAAAAGAGTAGAAACAAAAAATTTAGATTGAGGAAAATCAGGTGTGTAAAAAAACAGTAACATTAATGGTAGGTAGGTATAAATTGATAACATTTGGCTTTCCTTAGCAAATAACACCATTTGTCTGTGGTGGTATTATTGTTTGTAATTGTTAAAATGTTTATACTGAATCACAATTTTTTTTGACTGTGTTTATTTAATAGACTTTTATAACAGCACTGGTGGGTGAGCTTATTTTAATAAGGGTTAGCTCATCCAAGCTTTATTGGACTCTTTTGGCTGGGAAGTTTTGGCCCTGCCTTACAGCCCAGACCTTGTGCCAATTTTCATCTTTTCCATTATCTCAAACATCATCTTGGCAGCAGCCACTACAACGATGATGAAGAATCTGAAAATAAATTGGGTTTTCAAAAATGTTCTTTTTTTTTACAAATGGTCCTTACTTAAAAAACACTTCTTGTATATTGTTCTACAGTGAGCTTGAAATTCTGCTGTTGAACTTAAAAGGAAGTAGGATAGAACAGAAGTAAGTGTCATTTGTTAAAAACTTGTAATAAATGTCAGAAATACATTGTTTAAAAATGATTAACAATAAAATGATATAGAGATATATTTATCTTATTACTTGCATCATAAATGATATTTATGTTTTGGGGTCCTAAATGTGTTCGCTTCTATTTATTAAATTCACTGTGATGTTTTTTAGTTCTATGTAAGTTTCTCAATGAAATACTAGATAAGATATACTGACACATCTGTATTTTGTGTGTTCATTTTTTTGGCATGACTTCTGATTAAGCTTAATTTATGGAATTTTAGGTTTACAAGGATTGGTGACTGAACAAGGAGAAGTAAGTTTTATATCTGCTGCAATTTTTTTCAAACTCTTTGGCTGTCATGTACTCATATATATGATGCACATAATAAAATTGGTGTATATTTATGTCATTTATGATGTACAATATCTAAACAAAATTTTGATGGATTCAATTTTTTATGTAACTTGTTAAAATATGATATGCAAATAAATTTTTAAAACTTCCATGATTAAAAAAAAAGTAACCTGTAGTGGTTTGAAGTATAACTACTGTTTGTACTCTCTGATACTGTTAAGAGTTGGACGACTGTTTTTGTGGAATGTTCCAGAATTCCGAAGGTTTTTTTTTTTTGTTAAAATAAGTTCTATCAACCTATTCATCAGACCTGTGTGCATTCAATCTGTTACCAATCCATATGCATGCAACAGTATTAATTCCCATAAGGATGTTTGAAACAGAATCTTTGCACATGGTCAATGTACAACAGTCTTTACCAAAGTGGGCGATAATGCCCCCTTGTGGGCGTTTGAGACCTAGAGAGGAGGCGATAAGGGGCCCAGAAAAAAATGGGGACCGTTGACGTGGGTTAGGGGGGCTATGGTAGATTTGTAATTTGATTTACTTTATATTTTAAATTTCACTGGAATTAAAACCTACCTACTACACAATAACGAATACTTAGTTTATATTTCTACCCTGTATGATGGTATAAAAACTTAAAATACTTAACATAGATTTCGTAGGATAGCCCGCACGTCGTATGTGCGTACGTTGTAAAATGACGAAAAGCATACAGTTATGTAAATGCATGAATCGCCAAGTGTGGCAAACATTCTGGGGGAAAAGATTAACTGCGGAAGCCGGTGCACTTATGATGTTGTGCTCCGTAGACTACTGTCCGTTTTCGTTTGGAGAAACCTTCAACGCTTTTACGCATGCGTCAAGTCTGCTTTGAATTCATCAAAATAGGGTTGAGACAAAAGAGAAATGTTTACTAAACATGCGTGCTTCTGTGCTTCTGAAAAACCGGTCTGAGGAAAAAGTCCATCTCAGCGTATCGCCCCTTTTCAGAATAGAATCATCAACAGGTGGCGGTTTTGCAGTATAAAAAACGGACTGTACGTGGTAGCAATCGGCTGGTTCATCGATACTTGTCCTAACTTGCTCAGTACGATTGAGCATCGAAAGAGATAAACAAGTTTGTGCGTGTTTGTCTTATTCCTGTCGGTGCTTGCTGTATTTAAATCCTATATAAAAGCTCATAATTTTTCTTATATTTTCATTAGTGGTTGGTTTCACGCGCTATCTTTAAACGAGTATTTAAGTTCAACACTTTATTTACATATTTTTGAAAAAAAAAAAAAAAAAAAAAAAAAAAGCCATGTCGCAAGCAAAAAAGAAGAGAAACGGCAATACAGTGCAGAATATATTAAATATGGATTCATAGAAAATTCGACAAAACCCATCTTTGCCTTTGTGCCTTCTTTGTTCAAAAACATTTTCAAACGAAGCGATGAAGCCTTCAAGACTTCAAGATCATTTAAATAAAATGCATCCAGATAAGAAGGACAAAAATGTAGCCTATTTTCAAGATCTGGAAAAGAAGCATAATGCTCAGCCAAGTGTATCGAAACTTTTTTCGATGGCTGCTAAGCAAGACGATGACGGACTTTGAGCTTCATACAATATCTCTCTGTTAATTGCTCAAACAGGTAAACCACACACCATCGGAGAAACATTAATTTTGCCAGCGATAAAAGAAGTTATAACTACTGTGCTCCATCAACCGGCGGCAGATATAATTCGAAAACTTCCTTTGAGCAATAATTCTGTGCAAAGACAAAATTGATGAAATGGCTGAAAACATTGAAGAATCATTGTGCAATCATCTGAAGACTAGTCAATTTTCAATTCAGTTGGATGAGTCCACTTTACCAACTAATGAAGCGTTGTTGTTGTCTTACGTGAGGTTTATTAAAGATGAAAAAATATGTCAAGAACTTTTATTTGCTAGAAATTTAGAGACAGACACAAAAGGAGAAACCATATTTAAAACACTGGAAAAGTTTTGTGATGAAAAAGGAATTCCCTTGAAGAATATTATATCAGCTGCTACAGATGGTGCTCCAGCTATGACAGGGTCTCAAAAAGGCTTCATGTCATACTTAAAAAACAAAATTCCTGATGTGATTGCTGTACATTGCGTTATACATCGACAGCATTTAGTTGCTAGAAATTTAAGTGAACGACTGTTTCAATCATTGCAACATGTCATCAGAGCAGTCAATAAAATCCGAAACAACTCTTTAAATGACAGATTATTTAATCAGCTTTGTGTTGCTAATGATGAAGATTTCAACAGATTGATCTTTCACACAGAAGTGCGTTGGCTATCAAAAGGAAATTGTCTGACTCGTTTTTACAATCTGTTTGACTTTGTCATAGAGTTCTTGGAAAACAAAGACACAGCATTGCGTGAAAACCTCATCAATCAAAGAATGATATTGCATACCTGGCAGACCTTTATACATTGTTTAATGATATGAATCTCCAACTTCAAGGCGATGACTTGAACTTAATAAAAACAAAAAATATCGCCGCTGCTTTCGTAGTCAAGCTGCTCTTACACAAGAAGAATATCAGCAGACGTGAGTTCCATAATTTTCCCAATTTATCAGTATCCTGCAACAAGGACGACTTGCTCGTCTACTGCCAACATTTGGAAAATCTTCACAGTGATTTCATTGAAAGATTCCAGGACATTTTGAAATTGGAAATACCAGACTGGGTGTTAGATCCTTTTTCAAAAGTCAACATAGCAATATCACCCCAGCTGGAAGAAGAACTTATAGAACTGACAACGAACGAGGAAAATAAAAAGCAAATTTAAAAATGGCTACCAACAATTTTGGCTACAAAAGTCAATTCCGCAGTTGTACCCTGGATTGTGGTCGATCGTTCAACAATTTTTGATATCATTCCCATCGTCATATTTGTGTGAACGTGGATTTAGCGCTGTGACAACGCTGCTTACTAAAAAGAGAAATCATTTGCAAGTTACCAAACGCGGCAACTTACGACTGTTTTTGAGTAAAATCGAACCTGATATCAACAAACTTGTTAAAAATCATCAAATTCATCCATCCCATTAGATTAGTTTAAAAACTAAAATTGATTACCTATCTATATTGTTTCTTTTAATTTGATTAAAGTATATTATTAAAATTATAAAGTTGTGTTTTAATTGCTCTCACTGGTAAAAACTGTTGATCACTGGTAAAAACTGTTGACTCACTGTTGATCCTTACTGTCATTTACTTGTGTTTTTCTATTATATATGACTGACATTTATCTATGATCTTCTACTTTAAACATTTTGCATTTATTGTTACCATATTTTGTTACTGTAGGTGACTGTCAATTCCTGTCTTAACTAGTCTGGAAAATCTTAATATAATAATTTCAGATGCATTTCTTCAACGTACGCAGTATATCCAAATAACTCTGTATATTGTACAAATGTAAACTTTGAAATCTGACTTTGACATTTTAGTGCCCGACTGATCTGTTTTGGGCCCGACCTAAGGTTGTGGCCAGTAGATAGTAGATGGTTTTACCTCTGAGTAACATATTCCGTTTGTTGCCTTTAGGCTAACTTAGGTCGGAAGTTGCTCAGTAGGTCAGTGTTGTATGATTTTAAAGTAGGCCTGTCAACAGCAGAATCAAGTTGCTGAATTAGCACCACATAGGAAAGGCATACAAGCTGAGCAAATGGGTACCCCTTTCACTGTCTGTGATGTAAGCAAACAACAGCATGTCACTGCCTGTTTGTCATTTCTTACTCGACACCACAATGCATCTATATTTGATCGAGTACTCACCACCCATGAAAAGTAGGTCCAGTATGACACACCCAGGTGTTCCAGACATTGGTTGTCACGATGAGACCTTGTGCCTCACTTTGCGAGATCTTCTCCACCCACACAAGATCATGCTCTGTATCTGGTGGACTAGTCGCCAAGTGGTGCACTATGAGCTCCTGTCAGTAAGCCAAAGCATAATGGCAGGCCTGTACTCCCAGCAATTGGCACGCATACATCAGTGCCTGATGCATAAAAAGCCAGCATTGGTCAATCGTAAGGGTGTACTCCTCCTCCATGACAATGCGAGTCCGCATGTGGCTCGAGAGGCCGGGGACACCATCTAGTGACTGTGCTGGGAGACACTACCCCATCCACCATACTCCCCAGACCTCACGACAATAGATTACCATCTTTTCCATTCCCTGGACAACCGTCTTCGTGGGAAATCCTTCAATAACTGGCCAAACATTGAAAATGCCCTCATAGACTTTTTTACATCCAAGTCTCCTGAGTTTTACAATGGTATCGCACAGCTAGCCACTCATTGCCAAAAGTCACTGGATGCCGATGATGATTACTTTGAGTATTAGTGGTGCGTGTTATTTGTTTTATAACTTTTTCTTTCTGACTGTCCAAAATGGCAAGAACATTTTTGGTTACCTTGTAAAAATACTGCACCTACACTTTTTTATATGAAACTCATGATAATTTTTTGGTAATTCTATGCAGATTATCATTTCCTCCAACTATGATTGTGTGGGTTGAAATCCTTTGTGTCTCAGAGAGGATGGAATACTCCACTGAATTGACATTGATTTCAGCTATTCAAAGTTTCTAATCCACATTTTACCAATAGCAGTTATTGCAGGAGAACAGTTTTTACTCTATGTAAATATTTTTAAATAAAAATATAATGAATTTATTGAATTTTAACTAACTACTGAACTAATCTTAAAAAAAGAAAAAATACTTTTTAAATAAAGGAAAATTTGAAATCTGTGTTCAGTGAAAAACAAGTTTAAGAATAATTTTAAAATTTCCATCTGCAAGCTACAGAAGAAATTTAGAAAATGAAATACTCAGTTAAACTATTGAATTTTGAGATTTGTTTTTCTCAGCATAATTTGACAGTTATCTGAGTAACATCAAATTTCAGTTAACATTTCAAAA